CTGTCCTTACACGTCAGTTTACCTGTCTGTCCCTACACCTCAGTTTACCTGTCTGTCCTTACACGTCACTTTACCTGTCTGTCCCTACACGTCAGTTTACCTGTCTGTCCTTACACGTCACTTTACCTGTCTGTCCTTACACGTCAGTTTACCTGTCTGTCCCTACACGTCAGTTTACCTGTCTGTCCTTACACGTCAGTTTACCTGTCTGTCCTTACACGTCAGTTTACCTGTCTGTCCTTACACATCAGTTTACCTGTCTGTCCTTACACGTCAGTTTACCTGTCTGTCCTTACACATCAGTTTACCTGTCTGTCCTTACACGTCAGTTTACCTGTCTGTCTGTAAAACTGGTTCTTTGCTCTTCCCCACCTGTCTCTCTACAGGACTATTCCCCCCTGTCTTGTCCATCAGTCAGGTTGAAGTTCTTCGTCTGGAAGGAGAGCAGTTCGAGGTCACCTGTCAGACAAGTAACCCCTCCCACTTTGTAACTGTCTCCTGGACACACCCACAGATAAAGGTGAGCATTGTATCATGGCCTGTGTCTGTACTTACCTGTCTCTCTGTCTGATTGGCTGTTTTGTTTGTTTCAGGAACTGAGCTGCGCTGTCAGACGAAACTATGAAAATAACTACCTGTATATCAACAACACTCTGACTATTTCTGCTGTCAGCCAGAGCCACGGCGGACCATACACCTGTACTGCTGTCAACGAAGTTGGGGTATCCACGGCCACCATGTATCTTAGAGTGCTGGGTTTGTAAATAATAATATAATACAGCTAACTATGTAAAGACAACATCAATCAGAACCATTTTATGAAACAAGATCAAATCATCTGTGAGGGCTGCACAGTGAAGTTAACTGTTACCCTTCATCCCCCTTTTCATCAGATCATCCCTACCTGAGAATTTACCTGTACCTGCACACTGCTGCTGCTCTGCACATCACCCACAGTCTGTTTGCTAACTCCAGCAGCATGCTAGAGGAGAAGCAGGAGGAACCATCTACTAATACTAGCTGCTCACAGGAAGTCAAAGGAGATCTGATTGCTAACATAAGTGATATGAATGGTGATGGCAGTGCCAACATTAGAGGCCACAGCAGAGTGAACGTGTATGAAGGTGGAGATATAACCCTTACCGCTGTCCTGGAGGCATATCCTCCAACCCACAGACATCACTGGATAACTCCATCACAACTAAACAATGATGGCACCATTGAGTTTGAGAAGAGCTTCGCTGCTAATGGCTACAAGTAAGCTTACATCTGTAGTGGCAAAGTCACCTAATTTCTGTGCAGATATAACTTCTCCTAGTGGCTGCATTAAAGAGAGAAGAGAAGGGACCAAGGATGGAGCCTTGTGGCACCCCACACAAAAGAGGAGCACTGGAGGAGGATAAATTATTGATCATGACAGAGAACGTTCTGTCAGATAGGAAGTAAAACACTTCAGTGCAGTGTCACAGACAAGAACAAAGTGTTTATAACAAGTCAGAAGGACAGAATGGTCCACTGTGTCGAAGGATGCTGTACGGTCTGATAGAACTAGAACAACAGGACCTTTACCGTCAACAGACACAACAATGTCACTATGTRTTTTAAATGTTGTAAAGGTAAATAAGAGATAAGTCTTAAATTAGAAACAATTGTAGAGTCAAGCTGGGGCTTTTTAACAAGAGACCTAAATGGCATGTTTCAAAGCACTTGGCACAGTTCCTAAGCTGAGGAAGGAGTTTATAAAAACTACAAGTACAGAGCCAAGAGTGGGAAAAACCTCTTTCTTCAGTTTGAAATGAAGACAATCTAGAGGGCAATCAATAGGTCTCATATGCTGAATTAATTCCYTCAGATAAGAAAAGGAAAAGAAAAGTGGTAACCTTTTAGGCAATGAAATTATWTTTTGATGTAAGTTYTTGTAAAAATGGTATTTTTGAYRTTCTAGGTTGAARGCAAGCCTTCTCCTGAGACGTGTACGTCAGGAGGATCGAGGTCAATACACATTTCAGTTTTCTAACTCGTTTTTTAATGGCTCTCAGGAGGTGGACCTCCGTATCTATCGTAAGAAACTTTTATAATCTGTTTCTGAAGCTTATTTTCTGTCATCAGTGAAGTCTAAAGCTCATCTGAACCCTGCAGGTTCTCCAACTGCAACCATCATTCAGCAAAACAACACTCTGACCTGCAGCAGCTCTGGATATCCTCGACCCACAGTCCTCTGGCTGACCTGCATCAGCATGGATGTGTATGTGAACTACGAGCCTACATCGCCCCCTACAGGCTGCACTGTTCATTAAGATTGTTATTAGAATCTTTTATAGGGGCCATGCTCACTGTGTCCTGAGGAGAACGCTACAGGAAACATTGAGCAGTCAGTGCAAACAGAGCAGACTGAGTTGTTTTGTTGTTTTCAGGAAGAAGTATTTGCAAACATCTGCAGTTCCATTTTTAAAATAGAGAAAAAACCCTAAGGAATATAATTAGACACGTTTATGAAACACCTTAAACTGTCTTACAGATGTGAAAACGCCACCACCTATCAGGTGACTCCTCCAACAGCTGTGACCTCACAGGAGGAGGAGGAGGAGGAGGAGGTAAAGATACACTTCCCACTGTCAAATGATGAAGACCTCACAGTCGTGTGTGTGGCCAACAACCTGGTGGGAGAATCTCGAAAACAATTTCTTCACTGTAAGTGTTTAAGAAAAAATAACAAAACTACAATGTTAAGTTCCAAAAACATCAGAGGTCAGAAAGATCAAGGGTCAAGATCCCACAGACTAGTGGTCAGGGTCCAACAGACCCTGAGTCAAGGTCTAACAGACCCAAGATCAGGGTCCAACAGACCCTGAGTCAGGGTTCAACAGACCCTGAGTCAAGGTCCAACAGACCCTGAGTCAAGGTCTAACAGACCCAAGATCAGGGTCCAACAGACCCTGAGTCAAGGTCTAACAGACCCAAGATCAGGGTCCAACAGACCCTGAGTCAGGGTCCAACAGACCCTGAGTCAAGGTCCAACAGACCCTGAGTCAAGGTCTAACAGACCCAAGATCAGGGTCCAACAGACCCTGCATCATGGTCCAACAGACCCAAGATCAGGGTCCAACAGACCCTGCATCATGGTCCAACAGACCCAAGATCAGGGTCCAACAGACCCT